AAAATTTCAATGTTCTGAGGCTATTCGTTTTTGAGTTATGCGAGATACATACATATATACGTACGTACGTAGAGACGCTACGAAAATAATCTCTTCTGAATCCATTTTAAATCAGTTTTATAATTCGTTTGAAATGGGGAAAAGAGCCTTTTATACTCGGAATATTTCATGATTACAATACTTCTTTTACTTCGTACAAGGAAGTGAAAAGCCTGAAGTAAATATTGAAACAGTTCTTAATAACGTTACCGTTGCAAAAATCTTTTAAAAACTGTGGGAAAATACATATTTACAGAAAAAAGAAGAACTGTCAGAAATTTCTGGGTTAAAATTCCATGAATGGTAAAGAGAAAAGGCAGTTTGACGAAAACATCAACTGGCAACAATTTGACAAGAATACTGATATCAATGTTTTCTATATAATGTTAAGCTTTTAGCAAAAATAAAAGAAAAATATCTGCGTATTATCATATAGAATTTACATTTAAATTTAATGAAGCGATGCAGTCATTATTCGAGAAGAGCAACATCCCAGACTTTCAACTATGAAATGATGCACTTTTTCATGAATATCCAAAACTAATTAATCAAAAGTTTGATTTTTACTGGTTAAAAAAAAAAAAAAAAAGGTCTTCCTCCCAGGATTATCGATAATGTTGTACTCTTCTTTAAGTGCCTTGTATGCACATGTATATCTCTTTCTTGCATTTTATAAATGTCGTCTGCTCAGCCGGGGTTGCCCAGAGTACGGAGTTACGACGTACATATGGTCATCATAACTCTGTTCAAAGGAAAATTCTTTGCAAATGCGGTTAATGGAGAAATATTCATGGAGGCCTGTTAACGACGAATGGGAATGTGCAAAATCGAAGCGTTGCCTTTTGTTAACAACAGGAAGATTTACACAAGAAACCGCCCATACGGTATAGTGAGTAGGGGAGGTAAACCGCTGAGTTGGCTTCGGACCCAGGTATCCATGCAGAATTGGTTACCAACTCTGCGGGAGTCAACCACTAGCTACCAGGCCGCAGCTCTGGGCAACCCCGGCTGAGCAGACGACATTTATAAAATGCAAGAAAGAGATATACATGTGCATACAAGGCACTTAAAGAAGAGTACAACAATGTACAAAGAAATATATACATGTGCATACAAGGCACTTGAAGAAGAGTACAATCATAATATATGTATATACATATAAATACCAACTCATATACAGATATATACACACTTACGTACATAAATATCCCGAAACAAATAAAAGTGTATATACTCTCACTCATATTGATATATACATCGATACATATACGTTATCATGATAGTTAAAGTTTACAAGAAGCATGCCACTGAGGTACGCGTGATCCTTAGTATAAATTAGATACCATAAATAAAAGATATAAACACGTACAGATACATTACAGCATTCAGATACAGTACGAACTTTATGTATGAGAACCTGACATAGCATAAATACAAAATTACATATTGAACATACATATCACATGCTCTCTGTTGCTTACATATTGAACTAGCTTATATAGATTTTTATGACTACTATCTTCCAGCGTCAGAAGAGTAATTGCTAGTACAGTAGTCAATTATTGTTTTTAGTTTCCGCTGGACAACTCAATGCGGTAGCGAAGGGCCCGGATTCGAATCTGGGAGATGACATGGATGTTTGTAAATGTATACAGCCCGTTCGGCATGGGGCACTCTAAATATGCGCCCAGGATATGCTCCTCTCGAGAGGTTGCTAATAGGAGAAGAGGGGTGGGAGACCCTCGGACCCGTCCCATTGAGGTGCTCTTCATCAAAATTGGCGGGGGGGGGGGGTGAGAACTGAGTGAAGTCACTAATATGGTGCTTAAAGCTCTTACCAATGATAGGCACAATCTTGCACTTCTTGCCACGATGAATTTCATGGACTTGTTCTGATGTTGCTGTCAGACAAATGAGGTAAGTCACAACAACACAATACTACACAGATTTACAAGGAAAGGTAGCTTAGCTTAAAAATAATATTCATACTTTTTTTTCCCCCTGAAATAAGGCGAGGAAAGAAATAATTCGAAATTCAAAAGCAAAATTTCATGAAAAACTTTCATCATTTGCTATTTGTAAGGCTCTGAATCGCATTCTATGCAAAAATATAGAACTTTAGGCGTTTTTGCCTTCCAACTTTAGACTTCTTACTTTCGAATTTTTAGACATGAATAATGAACCGAAGTCCCTTAGAATATCTTTCTGTAGGAGCCCCCTCTTCAGATAAATAAAACTCATATGGCTTGCATTAATTAATCAGATATTCTCGAGAAAATTGTCTAAGATAAGCAGATTTTTCAAAAATTGTCTCAAGAATATCTTGTTTTCCAAAATTCTACTAAAACGAAGTCGAATATCTAATCATTTCCACGCAATATGGGGGAGGAGGAGGAGAAGGAACAGCAATGATGTGTTACTGGTTGGAAAAAGACTAGAACAATTTGGAAATTTGGGATTTTTTTTCTTTTTGCTGGAAAAAAATTAAAATGTTCTCGTCTGCTTCTTTAAATAGTTCTGATAAAAAAAATTCTGAAATCTTTCAGATTTTATATTTTATTCAAAGGGGCGTTTTTTAAATTTTTTGTGCGTTACCTTTGTTTATCAAATACCATGTTCTTTGCACTTAAAATTCAATTCAAAGGCGATATCACAAAATAATTTAAAAAGAGCATATCTTTAGAATTAATTAATGGGTTCTTCGAAATCTGAGCATTTGAACTGTAGTGGTAGTAAGCAGAATATATTCTTATACTTAAAAGGGTAATTGATAGCAAGTAGAATATATTCATTGGTTAATGGCTAACAAGGTAGAATAGTACTAAGTACTGTAGAGTCATTAGGTTATTTTGAATGCAGGGTATGTGAAAAATGTGCAATGCTCTCGCCGCGACTCGAACGTGGATCTCTAAAATACGCGCTGAATGTGCTGCCGTTACATCACGAAGGCTTGCGGAAAGGAGGGAGAAAATACCTTATATACACCCCCTTTTAAAGGGCGACTGGGGATTAAGGGATCCAGTTGCCAAATCCTAGTGATGAAGAATCATCATCCACCACCTTTTCAGTTCGGGCGCCACTGTAGAGACATTATTATTTATTTATTTATTTTGAAGCAGGAGATATAAAACTGTGTGATGCCCTTGCCAAGACTCGAAATTGGACCTCTCGAATACGCGCCGAGTGTGCTACCGTTACACCATGAAGGCACGCGAAAAAGAGGGAGAAAATACCTTATAGTACTAGCATAAGACAAGAATAGACAATGAATAAACTTTGCGTTCATATACAATCTTTCCTCTTAATTTTTTCACAAATTTTGAAAATTTTGATCCATAGATGTAGTGGTGAACCACGTAATGCATGCACAATACTTTTGGCAATGCATTTTTTAAATGGGCGATAAGCACTCTGTACCTACCAACCATGGATAGCCTTCACTAACACAAGCCAAGCCATTAACTTACCAACTGGATTACTTTTTTCTCTAAAATAAAATTGCATTAAATATTGTTTCACCTTTAGTACCTGTTTTGAAGAATCTTGTAAAAATCATTTTCGCTTGTTTAAACTTTTACTCACCAAAATTCTAGGATTAATTAGGATTTGATTGACATAGTTGCTCTGAAACAGCACCAAAAATATATTTAGATTTAAGTATTTCAGAAGCACCTGTTTTCGTTTACTGAGCACTTTAAAGGCACTTCCTTTATTTTGCAGCGACTTATATTGTTACTGTCACTTAACATTTCAAATGTTTGCTAAGCAATTTAAAAAAGAAATACCTTGACAATTCAAGATCAAAATTTTTATGTAACCTTCCTGTGACTGATTTCGTTTATTTCTCATTTCAATGCTCGCAGTCACTTTAGTGGAATATGAGTAAAATCAAAATTAATTTAAGTATTTTTTAAACATATTCATACCTAAGAAAATTAGTATTTCTTAAAATGCATTTTATTCGTTTAAAAACAATAACGCTTTGTTGGGGAATGAGTTGGATATCATACTTAATTACCCAAAAAAAGTGATTTACATAAAAATCCTTTTTTTTTTTTTTTTTTTTTTTTTTTTCCATTAGAAATCCAGCAGGAATCTAGGAATGATTTAATTATTATTTCATAAAGAATAGTAATCAGTAATTCTGAGAATAGTGATTTTCGATTTATTTTTATTAAATTCCTAATCCGCTAAGAACTAAAGACTAATTAATAATCCAGTTGGAGTAATTAAGGAAACTAGAATTCCTAAACTAATAAGGCTTCCTAAAATAATAATTTTTTCAAACAAACCTTTGAGAAGTGAAACAATTTAATAAATACAACATTTTGTTATTTAACAATTTAATAAATGCAACATTTTATTATTTAACAATTTAATAAATACAACATTTTATTGTGAAAGGAATGATATTCTTAAGAGTAAATTTTAGTCTGAACAAACATGTTCAGACTGAAATTCACTCTTAAGAATCTCATTCCTTTCTTTCATCTAGTGAAACTCTTACAACCGTTAACGTGCATTGTAAAAATTACTTTCTTAAAAAGAAAAAAAATCTGAAGGAAACAAACAAGAAAATCTAGAAAAGTAGATAATACTGCTACACATTTCCAGTACAGCGAAATAGAAACAAATTTTGAAAGAATATACAAGAAATCAGTTCAAGTTGCTTCATACAGAATACTAACAAGCACTCGTATTTTTGCGTAGGAGTTACTTTTAAGATAGAAACTACTTATTTTTATGAGTATTTAGTATTTTAGATAAGTATCTTGTTCCCTAAAAGGAATTGTTAATGAGCGAAAAATTCTACCCTAACGCACGCGCATAAAATGAAAATTTCTGAAGAAAACAGGTTTAAGCTTTCCCAGAGCGATACCGCGCCAAATGTGGCTCGGATGACGGTTACCGTATAAGATCATTACGAACAGATGCGCATTTTCTCAAAGAGGCTAGACGGAGGGCAATACCAGTCCGGAGCGGATACAAACATCGTCTCCGTATGAAGTCTCACCATCCGCAATCCCCATCGAAGCCATGCTGCTTCTGCTTCTAGTGGGGACGGTATTATGCCGGCCGGCTGACGGCTTTCTTAAGACCTTTAGCCGGGGACCTCTTCTGGATGAGGACCCCTGCTATGACGATGGGGGCAAACCCCATCGTTGCATTCCAGATTTTGTCAATGCTGCCTTTGGTAAGGTAGTGGAGACTACTAGTTCTTGTGGTGATCCGCCAATGAAATATTGCCGGATGGACAGTGAGTCCGGCAGTGTTAAATGTCACGTGTGCGATGCTTCCAGTCCTCACTCGGCAGAGTACTTGACAGATTTGCACAATCCGAGTAATGTCACTTGCTGGACATCCAAACCTAACCTCACAGAAGTGGTCAATCTGACCCTCAGTTTGGGGAAGAAATATGAGCTCACATATATCAGCCTACAATTCTGTGGGCTTAAACCCGATTCAATGGCAATCTATAAAAGCATGAACTATGGTGAAACATGGTTGCCATTTCAGTTCTATTCAACTCAGTGCCGCAAAATTTTTGGCAGGGTACCCAATGTCCCCTTAACTAGATCTAATGAGCAAGAACCGCTTTGTGCTGACGCTCGGTCCAGTATTGAACCGGCCACAGGTGGCCGAGTGGCCTTCAGCACTCTAGAAGGCAGGCCTTCTGCTTATGATTTTGATAATAGTCCAGTGTTACAGGACTGGATAACAGCAACTGACATTCGCATAGTACTGGTTCGAATAAAGCCTTGGACTCTAGGGGGCAGTGCTTCCAATGAAACAGAGTTAAATTTTTATAGCATGTCTGATTTAGCAATTGGAGGCCGTTGCAAATGTAATGGCCATGCGTCTCGTTGTATTACAGACACTGACGGCTCACTAATTTGTGACTGCAAGCACAACACTGCAGGAAAAGACTGCGAAAAATGCAAACCTTTTCATTTTGACCGCCCGTGGAGTAGGGCCACTGCGCACAATGTCCACGAATGCGTGGGTGAGTACTGATCAAGTTTTTAAATTATTGTTAAATACTGATGTAAGAAAAATGAGATTTTACAGTTACAGATATTTATTTACTTTTAGGCAAGCCTTTATAGAAATTTCTAGGTTTTTTTTTTTTTTTTTTTTTTTTTTCTCTGGTGTGTTTTTATTTCTGATCAATAGATATTACAGATTTATAGCATTTGTGGAAAAGTTCAGGGAAAAGTATCTAAACTTTTAAATTTAGGCTGTGTGTTTCTCCATGCAACACAATATTGCTACAAAGGTCGACAGCTTAAATCTTCGATTTTAAGATTTTAAGACATGATTTGCTTAGAATAAAAGTCATAGTTTAAAGTTGAGTAATTTTTTATGAAATGAATGCAAAACCTTTTGTTGGTTATGTTATAAAATTTATGAAATGAATACAAAGCCTTTTGTTATGTTATAAAATTAATCGCGTTATTATGAAATTACTTTCAGAAATATATTTTTTTTACTAATTTATATCCTATAAATTTTTTGGTATCCTACAAATTTGATATTTGGTATTCTGTAAAAACTAAAACTATTTCTAATCCAGAATAATTAGCAGTATTCATAAATACATTTATTTTGTATCATTTGCTTTCCTAAAATTTCTACTACTGCTTGCAAATTGCAGTTACGGATATCCACAGTTAACTCTTAATATATATACTAGTTTATATTACTAGTATATATATTAACAGTTAACTGCAGATATACTATAATACCTACAGTTAACTATTAATATATTTCATCTATTTCGTTATAGGAAGTTTTACAGAAATGCCACAGGTACAGTTTTAGTGTCATTTCTTAGTCCTTGTATTATACACAAACGGGCTGTGCTAATGTAGCCGAATTATTTTTTTAAATGCCTAAATGTATCTAAGATCAATTCAAGATCTGTCCATGCAGATAGCTAAAGTGAAATTTTAAAATAAAAAAATGGATTTTTAGTATTTAACATATTGCCCATTTCGCAATACAGTTGCATATTTGATTAATAAAATATAGAACATGTTCTCTACATAGGACGTAAAGTTATTGAAGGGCAGGAAGCTTTTTTTAAAAGAAGTAATGAAGCTAAAAAAAATAAAACTTTTTTTTATTATTAATGGAATACTATAAAGATGTGTTTCTTCATTGAATATTAAACATAATTTGCATAAATATTTCCTATATAATTAATTTTTACTAATAAAAATAAAGAATATTAAGTAAGTAGATAAAATTTTGCATTCTAGCTATGGAAACAAACACAACTGCTTTTATACATTGTTATGTCCTCATGTCCCCTAAAGAGATTTGTCGCATTAGGCTACTTGGAACTCTGTAGAGAAATTCTGGTAACGTTGTGGACACATTAAATTTTTTTTTTTAAATTTTCGAAACGTTTTAATATTTTAATAAGATTTTGAATGTTTGAGTTCAGTTCACTTTTTTTAATTATGTATAATTTTTACCCAAGAATGTAGTTAAGTGACGAATTTATAAAACTTAATCTACAACTGGGATTAGCTTTGTGATAGCACAGGGAAAAAAATCGGTTATAGTATATCTTACGTTTAAATGATTTTTTTTTTTTTTAAATCTTAGGAGGATAATGTACAACTGTAAGTTACAGCTGTAACTGTAAATAGGCTCTGAAAAATATATTATAATCTTTAAAAAAATGAAGTGATGTATTGCCGAACAAAATGAAAGTTAATGTGTATAATCAGCTAAAATACGGACTAAATAAGGGGTTTATTGTAGTATTAGGCAAATAAATAATTTTATAAGACATCTGTTTTAAATAAAGCTCTATCGACTTCATATTAGTTCTTTATAAGACAAAGCCGCTAATGCTGTCAGCTCTAAAAGGGGAATGCCTTTGTGGAGAACTGTCGAAGGACTCTGGCTCGTATTTATATGGAGAAAACCAAGCACACAGACAGCCCGTCTGCCTGGGCTTGAACCCAAACGAGTCAAATTACCAGTTTTCAGCGGTGTTAACACTCGTCTACTGGTGGGGCTGTCCACTTCAAGGTAAAAGTACCATCAGTTTCCATTCTCCAAAAACAAATCACTTCCTTTCATAGCATTTTTTTTTCACTGAAGAAAAGGATTTGTCCTCGAAGGATTTCGATTTATTTAATTTATTCTTCCTAGAAGGAATTCGATTTATTTTTATTCAAAATCAAACTTTGTGCATTTTTTCTTATTAGTTCTAAAACTCGGAAATTTTGTACAAAGATTCTTATTATATTACTATGTTATCTACGTAGTGGTTCGCTTGCTAATTGTATTACATGTATGTAACTTTGTAGTTTAAATTTAACAAACGTAGTTTGATTCGTTTGCCTTCCTGTTAGTAAATCTTCTTCTAAAAGGCTATTTCATTATAATCTTTTCATACAAAAAGACAGTCTCACTGGAGGCGTAATGTAATGTTTTTGTATCTACAATATTCTAGTAAAATATTTTCACTTAAACCACAGCGCTTGTTTCTGTTTATTTAGTAAAAAAACAATTTTAAATTTCTTTTTGATAATTATAAATTTTAATTAGGCAAGATTTTGATTAACCAAAACTAAGTAGGTGAAGTTTCAAATGTACGTAAAAATTTTCAAGTACATTTTTAACTACAGTGTCTGATAGAGATTTGCGGCGTAGATACAAAGACGAGAATTTATAAATTATTCATTCTGTTAGAAAACTTTTTAAATTTTAATACACTCGATTTTTGCTTCTTAATTCCATATTACGTAGATACCATTCATACACGAGGAAAATTATTTATATAAAATGAAATCATGTCAAAAACTTCAGAGGAAAGGAGGAAGAAGTAATTTATAAAAACAACATTATATCTGATGTAAAATTTTAAAACCGTTGCGTTAAAATAGGCATTTGTAAAAACCTCTTCAGCCTTCAATAAAAGCTACAGAAGCCGGAAGAGTGTAAATATCCCCATAATGTACCACAGCTACTTCCAACCTCAGGTCGCGACCCAAATTTGGGTGATGGAAGACTTAAAAATATGATCTCAGACGTAATTCATATTACATGATACTTCAAAATTAATTATGAGTGATAACTGCATTCCTCATATCCCCCCTTTCCTTTTTCCAGTCTTCAATCGTGAGCTAATGATGCTGGATGAAATAAAGTGTGCTTTCTAAAAGCACTTACCGTCACTGGCACTGTGCAGTCAAAAAATCCTGTTGTGAAGTGCAAGAAATTTGAGCAACCTTATTTGATATTCAAAAATTGCAGAGAAAGTTAAGCGTAATTCAATTCTTAAAATGAATAATGGAAGTCAAAAGAAACGTATAAGTATTTTTGTTAGGCTTATAATTTAGTACTGGAATACAAAATGCCTAGTAACAATAAATGGAATAGAATAAAGTAACATTTTTTTTTTCATCTCCAGCATTCGTTTGTTAAACAGTACATAGAGATCTTGTTTCTTGTTCTGAGGAAAAGAAATACATTTTCCGTGTGATTATATCGACCTTTTGGGGGATAAAACTCCAAATAATGTGAAGAGCTATATCGTTGTAAGATTTCAATTTATTCACCGATGAAGCCACACCAAATTGTATACATTATTCTTGTGTCCTCCTGTAGTTACGTTTGCCATTTCATCTTCGGTGCGAACATAGATTGTGAAGATACGAATGAGCAATATAATGATGATCATGAAACTTTTCGCGCTGTTCCGTACCGGTTGTTCTGAGTCATTGCAACAAAACTGTCTGAGTTTAGTAAAACCCTACTATTGGTTCTCAACTTTTTTTGCCTCTTGCATCCATTTCATTATTGCTAGAAGATCATTCCCCCCTCTTTTCCAAAACTTAAAAAATATATGTACATTTACTTAAATTTAGAATATTTTAAAAAATTTTATAAAATAAACAAGAAAAAATATAGAAAATGTTGATAAATACCAAAAATTTAATAAAAGTAGTTTTTTTTCTAATTCATAAACTAAATACCTGGCAGGTAGATAAAAAAGTGACCGCATTCTGTCCCCCCCCCGAAACTATAAACTACGCCAAGAGGGTAATTCCCTCTCCCTAGTTGAGAATCTCTGCTATAGCTGCCATCGTTCTTGTTATTCTCCAGCTACGATTCTTTGCTTTTGTCAAACATTTTACAGTTCTGATTTGTTTGCTGTTTAGTCTTTGCACTGATACAACTTTCTTTACTAATGATATAAGGAATTACATTTTATTCTCTCTTCCTACTAATTTGGGTCAAACCATTAGCATTGGCCTTAGCAATGACATTCATGAGTAAAAAACCTTGGAGTCTTTCAAAAAGTCACAATATTTCATCTTTTCAAGTATCAATCTGCGAATGACTTTTTTAGGATGATACAAAACAAAAGTCACGAGAAGGGTTTATAAGACCCTTTTGTTTTTGAGCATAAAGGAGAATGACCCAACTTGGGTTTACACAAGACAACACTTCTGGCTTAACTAAAATGAGTAATGAACTAAAATCAAATGTTGTAAGATTAGCCTAACGGCTCACAGGATAAAATAACGCGCAGGAAAGCTCTGGTTTGTAGAAAAGAGGTGAGACAAGCTTAATGTCTAGAAACACTCAACGCCACAGAATCAAATCGCTATTAGTCACGCTAACAACATGATCTCAAGTAGGCAGAACACGCTCTGAAGTGAGCTTGCGAAACACTTCGCGTTCCCTCGTATGTGGCTTTCAGTACCACATTTCCAACGCATTAGACCCAGTTTGTTCTCACGCCTATTCCGTATCAAAGCATTGACTTGTCTGGATAAATCATCTAAACGAGCGATCGCTTGATCCACTGGCTCGTGGACTTGAGCAGTTTTGACTGGGTCTTAGGATGTTTTCTAAACACACGCGGAACAATTATCTGAATGAAATTATATACACCAAGGCTGTAAAATAGCCACTGTTTAAATTAAAGAGTTATTCTTATCTCTTTCTTTAAAATTAACAAAGTTAAAAAATAAAGTGTTCAACAACACGTTCTAAACTGTTCTAACTTAGAGAAGAAATAGTAGTGCCAAATCTGGTAAGCAAGGTCTCTGATTTTTTTTTTTTTGGGGGGGGTGTTAGAAGTTGCTTTGCAATAA